GTAAAATAATACTTGATACAGTGATTCAGTGATTTTACTATAATTATTACTGTAAAAGTTTTGTTACATCAAATATTTTTTTTTGTAACTTGTTCCAGAAAAAATGGATTTTACATTAAAAGATACCTTCATTTTGAATGCCTGTACTTTTTACTGCGATTTCCAGAATTCTTTACGGTGTAGATACAAATCATTTGCTTCTAAATCATTCATATATTCCCATACAGGAAAAAAAAGACTTGATTTTCTTAAGAGGCAATAAAATCAATAATCCGTTTAAGAAATGAAATGGCACCGAAAAGCATTAATCATTTTAATTTCTTTTTCTAATTCTTTTTAAATTTAATAATAATTTTTTTTTTAATTTTCTTTGTTCATCTATAATTTCTTGTGTAAAACAAAATGATTTCTGATAGTCTGTTGAATTCATCGCATTGAATTTAAATATAAAATGAGTTTAAACATCTTATTAATCGGTAGCAAATTGAATCATATTCTCCATCGTTATTTAAGTCTAAGTAATGAAACTTTTTATCAAATTCTACTCTAGTGATTTAGAACATAAAATAAAAACAGATTTTAATTTATGATTGATTTATTCAATCATTTGGCCTCTTTCAAAAAGATTTCTAAATATATTTACATTTTAACCATAACACAGCGCCATCAGATAATAGACTAACGGCATTCATCTTCTTTTTTTCATTTTACGTACTGTCTACGAAAAAAAGAGATAAAATGTTAAAATGGCCAACTTTTCTTTAAAACCAGCTGTTGTTTTGTTTACAAAAAGCAAGCATACATTCTATAAACAAATGTGATAAAAAATTGGAGAAAAAAAATTTAATATTTTTAATATTACGCTGATACTAGAATAAATTAGCTGGTAACAGGGGAAAAAGTTGAAACTCAAACATATACTAACTTAAGTGAATTATTTAAAAGCTAAAAAATTAGCTAAAAAAGAAAACTGCTTAAAGTAATTTCACTTCAGCAAAGGAAACTACGAAAAACACACTTGGATGAATATTTACGCCATCTGGTGGATTTAAGATTGACGTTTGAAACTTTACTTGTCAAAGAAGAAATTAAAACTCGACATTAAATTAGATTTCCTACCTTTTTTAAGCATTGATGTCAAAATAAAATGGTTCTAAAATAGAATAAAACGTTCGGTCCATCAAAAGCAACGGCTCCAAGTTTTCCATTCAAATAACATATTCTTAGGAATACATTTTGACAAAACTACGTGTGCAAAATAATATTTCGTTTTTCAATGGGTCAAAATCACTAAGCTGCACGTGCGGTCATTTGCTTAATTAATAAATTAAATTTTAATATTAAATCATACCTTACGATCTTCTTAGTTAACCTAACTATTTCTGCACAAAAACCATTAAATTTTTTTGAAGTCTTTTCTTAAGAATGTTATTTGTAGCACTTTCGTCAACAAAAAAATAAATAAATAAAAAAATTTAAAAAAAGCGCAGTTTAAGCGTTTGAAATTCGAAACGAAACTTAGATTCAAAACTATAAATACTATAATATAAATACTTCTTGCGTGAAATAATTGCTTATGCTCGTAGATATTAAATATATATAAAAAAATATTAAGAAGGCTTCAAAGAAATGCTAATTTGGCGAAACTTTTTCACCTGCATGAAAATTAGCAAAGTCGTTGATTCTCCTTCTATTTTTTATTTTCAGAATCCAAACAATACAATGTGAAAATTACTTTTTAAATATTAAAAAATCAGATTATGGAGACACTTTTCGTTTTCAATTAATTGCGGCTCTTCTTCATTTGGACTGTTTTCCGTCTTTTTCGCAATGAGGCTCTCGCTATAAAAATGCGCAAAACTTAACCTAACAGTAATGAATAACTGTTAAATAAACTGACAACAGTTAGAAAATTTACATATATTTCTATAGGCCGCTCGCTTTACAATGAGGCAAACATGGTTCAAATCTCAGCGATGGCTGATCGTTACAAATTCTGTACCCGGCTCACATAGACTGCTAAAATAACGTAAAACATACTCAATGGTAGACGGATCATGAGTTAGAACCATAGGGAGGTTTTCGTGGTTTTCCTCCCAATTCAACTCAAATAAGAGATAGTTCTATCAAAAAGTCGACGGCTATTTTGCCCCAATGCTTAATCCGAGAGTTCCCTTGTCTTTTGGGTTGGGTATAAAATTACACGGTTGCGGAGTTGAACATTAGCAGCCGTAAAGCTAAAAATGAGTCGGTTTTTCAATGCCGGTTACAAAATGAAATATTTTTCTCTGCAAATGTAACTTCGTAAGAAGGAAGCTCCATCGGACATTTTAAAAAAATTTTAAAGGCAAAATAAATAAATAAATAATTTTAAAAAATAAACATTTAAGATTCTTTTATTTAATACTCCAATGACAGAAATAATAATCAATTCAGTGTTTTGTTCTTCAAACTTTAGCGACCAGCTCTAATCAGGATCCAAAAAATCCCTTTCGAACAGCTCAAATCCATTTCCTCGCCAAATCAAACACAATTCTCACAAAAAAGAATGAAAATTCCCTCTTTCAGTTGGCAATTACCGATGGCAACAAACATTAATTACTTCAGAAAACTCCACATTATCACATATTTTTAGCGTAATTAATTGCATTCGAATGTTCCATGAGCGAAAGATAATCGCGGAAAATCGAATCGAGAATTCCGCATTTCCAACTGGGAATTCCACCCCGCTATTATTTCGCTGTTGGAATGACAAGGGATGGCCCAACAGATTCCCGATAATTGCCGACCAGCCGCACCTTCCCTGGGATTGTTGGGACAAGTGTCACCACGTATAGCTTGATAAATAAGGCGACATTTCAGCGTCTTCAACTTAATGAAATGGATAAATTAATGTACGCTGACCGCGTTAATGGAAATTCAATTATATTCCACCAAACGATATGTGTGAGTCTGTCAGTGTTTCGTAATGCTTCGATTCTTTTTATTATTTTTTTGAAAAAAAAATCTAACGTTATGAGATTTTTATTATTTTTATCTTATGATGTTGAGTGTTTTATAGAAAATTAAATTATTCTTATTTATTTATAAGGCAGACATCATAGAGTTAACACTAGAATAGCAACTAAAGTAAACAGCTTCCGCACTCTTGTCAAAATTTTTGGGTAATTTTGGCAACAAGGGATGGTAATTGGTAACAAGGGATGTTGTAATCTTCTTGGTGTAATTTTTTTTTTAATATTTTCATTTTATTTATTAACTTGACAGCCTTTAGTAGGCAGAAGTTTTTACACTCCTAATCCATTCTGCCAATAAAGGTCTTATACGATGCTTAATTGCATAGTCTGAGGGACGAAAATTATCACCCAGACAAGGAATTCAAAATTGCTCAAAATATTGCCCAGCAATAAGAACGTGTTGTTCTTTCGGGTATAAGTTCATTGATAACCCTGAACTTTCAGCAGCCCAGTAATATTTTCTTTCTCGTTGACAGCATTTGTTGGCACAAAATTAACATTTTGCGTTTATTTAGAAATAACCTTTACTTTATCATTTAAAGGTGGATTAAAATCTCTTGTTTGCTACATGAATTTAATTTGTTAACAACTAAAAAGTTGATTTTGAAGGGTGATACAAATAAAAATAGCGTAAATATTTTAATAGCACCGTGAAATCGCTGATAATCTTAACAAAATTATAATAAAAAATGTAATAATATTATAATATAATAAAAGTAATAATAACAAAATCTTGTTTCTTATATTGTTCACAATTGGACAACAAATTTTATTCTACGATCTCCTGGTGTTCTCACTATTTTACCTTTTTCTGATTTCATCTTGTGCGTGTTGCTTTTAGTTTCAAACTCCTCTTGGTTTATCGTTTTGATATTTAATATATTGATTACGTTTAGCAGATTCTGTATATTTGCCATTAAATTCTCTGAACATAAACGCCAAAATTTATGCTGAATAACTCTGTCAATAACTTTTATTTTCTTATTATTATGTAATTTTTACTGAATGGATCAATATTCTCAAACTCATAGCATTTAAATTTTTCTCTTTTTGTAAATGATTTTGTCTGCAGAAAAAAAAGCATTTAAATATGGAGACATTTATTAAATTTAGCCAGTTCTCAAAGCATTATATGAAATTCTGTAACAGAAAATTAATTTTTGTGTGACAAGAAACTAAGCCCGTTGCTTTTTCAATAGAACACACTAAACATAATTTTGGCAATAAAGATTAGCCTTACGGTAATTTGACTATATTAACAGCTATTAAGGCTAATTTGTTTGTTTTAGGAAAAAGCTAAATTTTTATGAAAGTTAATAAAATAAAATATTCTTTACGTCTTCTTCATCAATAGTTTTAATAATAAAAAAGATAAAATCGAGTAAATATTTTTTTCATGTAAACATTAATATAGATAAATATAGATTTGCATTTTGAAAAAAGAAAAAAAACTCTCCCAAATGGATTTATAATAATGGATTCCAAATGGAAATATTATTTGTTCCAGAAATACATTGTAAAAAATTCTGAAAAATTGCAGTAAAATTTTATACCCTCATTTTTACTGTAATATTTAATGAATTACAGTGTTTCAGTTAATAATAATGAAAAATCACGGTATATCAGATATATTTTAGTACAAATATCATTCGATAATCTAACAGATTCTTTACATTAATTATTAAACTATTTTTTTATAATTCAAAAATACCAAAATATATTTTTGCTTGTAATTAGAGCGTCTGAAAAATAATATGTGTAAGGAACATTAGTGTACATCGTCTTCAAAGGGCTAAAAACTATAACAGAACGCTCATTTTTAGCTTCTGTAGGATCAGGACGAGACCTCATCCCAAGCATCCTTTCAGCACCTCTGCAAAACCGAATTTGATCGAGCTTTGGCGATGCTGCAATAGTTGCACACCTTGGCGACTGAGTGAACCGCCAGGGTTAGCGTGCTCCGTATCATAGCAACCTAGGTTTTCATTGAAAGCGCAACCAGCCATCAGCTAGGACGGATGTCAAGTAGTTTTTCCCTCGGTATACCTATGAGCGCGGGAAATTCAAGATGGTAAAACAAAAATAAATAAGTAAATTCTGATTACAGTGGCATAAAAAGAAATTGAAGAAAATAGACCTGTTTCGTAGTGTGTGAAAATATAAAATAATATTTTCAATATGAAAAATCAAGTAATAAAAGCTCGATTTAAAGATTTCGGAGATGGTGGCTAAAAAAAAACTAAATTAGAAAAGTGGAATTATGAAATAAATTTAAAAATTTAGCAAAGGAAAACTGAAAGTTATTTCAAAATGAAAATAAGATTTATGTCCATTTTTATGTGCGTGTGTTTGTTGAGCTTTGATGGTGCTGCCGCGTGGTTTAATTTATTTGTAAGCAGATCTGAAGGAAAAAGAATATTAGGTAAGTCAAGCGCAAATTGTTCCTTAAAAATTTTTATTAAAATTTTAAATGAAGGGAAGAAAGCGTATCAAGTTTCAATTTGTAACATAAATGTTTGTAAATGCTTTTGAATTTTTTATTTAAATATTCAAATTAAAAGAGGAAATAGCTTGAAAATGTTTATTACATTTAAATCGGCAGTGATTTTAGTGTATTTATTAAAACGTTTAGCTTTCAATTTCAAAAAATTCCAAATAATACATTTTAAAGACTAATATATTGATAATTTTAAAGACAAATATTGAGTTCGCAGTAATAATAAAGACTTCTAAATTTGATATTTGCTATCTACCGCAAATAAATGCAATAGAATCAGTGTTTAATGCAACAAACGTTTAAAAAAACATTATATTTGAAGATGAGGAGAAATTCTAAAAAATAATCAACAGTTGTGAATAACAAATAAGCATTAAAAATTCAATTTAAGTGTTGCGTTGTTATTAAAAATAGTTCTATCTTTAAATTTACTTAGTAATGATTAGAACCAGAACGAAATTCGGGCTTCGAATTAGTACGTTAATGTACGCAAGAAATATTTAGCGTACAATATACAATATGAATGATAATTCAACCAATTTTGTTAATAGCAGTTTTGAAACATAATTTAAACGGGTTCTCGCATAAATGTGAGTAAAATATTTTTAAAAAAAATTCTTTTCTTCTGTTTCTGTGCGTTTTTTTTTTCTTTTTTTACGTTGGGAACGCAAGTGTGTTCGAATAATGTGGTCAACTAACACACTTGTATCATTTCATATACAAAACTTCTTTTTATTATGATAGAATTATATAGCTAAGTTATTATGGAGAAGAAATTAAGTATGACTTTAAATAACGATAATTAATTTTACAATTATTTGATATATTTATCGTTACAAAATCAACTGATTATATCATATTTTTGTTTGTTTCATACGTGATGATCGATCAAATATCTTTTGCATGTTTTTTGAGTTATTTAATTTACACGTAATTTTTTTGTATAGTTTAATTTGAAAAGTATGGTATTTTGTTATGAACCCTTTGATATTGTAACTGTTTTTATGAACTATTATTCATATAGTGAATGAGTAAAGAGAGAAAAGTACGAGAGAAGAAAGGAAGTAAACCAATGAATAATCAAATTTATAAATCAGTAAATCAATGAATAAATATTTAATCGATAAATTAATTTTTAACTATTTAAATTGATAATAATTGTAGTACAGTAGGTGTTGCTCACACTTTTTTATCATTATTTTAAATATTATCTTCTATATATATATAAATAAATGAGTGTCTGTGAGCGTGTCCTTTATCGACTCTTAATCTATCCGAGAGAGATTAAATGTGGCACACTGATATTTGAAAGCACTGAGAAGGTCACTATCGATATTAAAACCTTCGACTACGAACTGTTCAAGTGGTATTAGCGAAAAACGAAATGGAATTTTCTGATTGGTCAAGCGTTAGCCATTATTTTAAATTTAACTATAGATGCTTCAATTCTTCAAATACATATGTAATCATCAGGTACATTTGCTAAGTTATAATTTTATTTGTTAAAAAAAATTATTGCACGTACTTTAATATTTAATAACTTTTTATTCACAATGTCAGATAAATTCAATGAACAACGTTAACGTGATAGCATGCGTGAACTACGTTACCAAGTTAGCACTTCTAAAGCTTTCTGAAGCAACATATTCATTTTGTTTACAAACTCCTTTTAAAACGTGTTTCTACTTAAGTAAATAATTTTAAATCAACGGTAATTGAAATTAAAAAACATATTTATACATTGAAAGACAAAATTATTGGAAAAGTTATACAAATTCGTTTAAGAGTTCAAATTTGTTTATTGCCATACTTTAAAGACACCAATGGTATATAAACTATTCAGGAAAAGAAATCGTTATTTTTCTTTCAAACCATGTTTTTATTTTTTTTACACAGTTACTTTTTAATCATTTCAACTTTCGCAAAGAAGACAAACATGTAAATTTATAACTTGAATGAAGTTTAAAGATTTGCTATTTTATTGATTTATTTTTTTATTGTTATTATTCTGAAATCACTCTAAAGGACGTTACATTTACCAAAAAACCATCAAGAAAAAATTTCTATAAAATGAAAGGTGAAGGAAAAGCCAAAAATATTTCATCATTTAGAAATACATCCATATTTCTGTTTGAAAAATGGCTGAACATTAAGTTTTTACTATCAAGCATCCTAAACAAACTTATTTGTCGCAATTTCTGATGTTTTTTAATAATAAATTCAAAATTTCCAAGAAGCACTTTAATTTTTTTTTCTTGTGTGCAAAAAAACGCAAACGCTACTAACCTAAGAATGCCATTGAGAGAAAGTACTGGTATCTTTACTAAACTTCATCCCTCATACAAAATAAGGAAATAAGGAAATTCCTTATACAAACTGAATCCCTCATAAAATTGATTATAATTGAGTTTCGTGGAAACTTGTTCTATTAATCCAACTTGACAAAAAATTTTGAAACGAACTAAGGACTTTTATCATTTTTAAATTCTTCCATTCCGCAATTATTTTTTTTATTTTTTTATCTATACATACTATTAAAAATCACCCCAATTCATACGATTGTAAATTGTTTGTAATTTCTTTGAAAATGTTTTAGCACAAAATGGTTGAAATAAGAACTTTTGAACATGCCTGAATTTCAAAAAAATAAAAATTTTAAAGCATCTAGCACTACACGGTAAAAAAATTATGAAATAGATATTTTCAGAAAATACAATTAAAATTAATGTGTATTTGTATGCACTTTTTTTTTTAAATTCCTTCAATTGTTTCTTCAAAGTTCATTATCTTCCCATTGGCTGATCTAAAAGCATGAATAAATCAAAAAATCAATTTAATCACACCGTTCGTAACGTATACGCTTAGAAAATGGAAATAAATAAATAACATTTAAAAAAAAATATTTTAGGTGTCTTTCAATAACATATTCCTTTTGAGCAAAAAAAATGAATACTATCAGATATATATTTACTATTATCACATATATATTTTACTAAGTTATACGATATAAAATAAAAGAATAAAATAAAATTATGCTGACTTCTTTTTCCCCACCCTGTTATTGCCTTCATAAATTCCTCGTGGCAGGAAAAGGCAGCTTAAACAGCATGGGGTTGCCTACTAAGCTGATAAACGCACTCAAGGGCATGCCCTACCTTATACAAAACACCCCCAGACCACTATTTTATTTTGTTTTATTTCCTTAGTACTTCATCTTTTGCCTCCTTTTTTACCCTCTGAACTCTTATTTCCGATTTTATTTTCTTCTAAAATTTCAGTACTGCTGAAATAGACGATACTATATTTTATTGTAAGATCAACAGTATTAAAATATTTTAATAATATATTAGAAAATAATGACATATTATTGAATTAAAATAATTTTTAAACTATTTTAGTATAGAAAATGTTTAAAATAGATTTCACAATATCTTTATTCAAAAATTGAGATGAACTTCACTTTGTTTTTTAAATATTATTTCTTTTTTTTTGTTAGGAAAATACGGAAAATTAAGCAAATAAAATTATAAATAATAAAATGAATTCAATTAATTTTTTCTCGATACGTAAATCTATTTGACTATATAAAGGAGTCCAATACATTAAATTTTATAGTTTAAAATTTTGTTCAACCACTTGCTAATTTTTTTTATTCCTATCTATTTTCTTTTTTTGTCACAATACAAGATGTTTTTTCTCTTTTTTCAAGGTTGGAATTTTAAGTCTTGCATCAAAAGAAATTCTCATTAAATATTCATAATCTTAGCACGTAATCTATTGAAATAAAGAAGATTTACAATAAATATTAAGGAAATTAAAGATATTTAAATTAAGAGTACCAATTTTACCATGTTTAGATCTATCATTACCATTTCGAGATTTTTAAAGCAATATTAATCAGAAAAATCATCCAAAGATAAAATAAATTATCATCGGTTAAGTTTAACTTTAGTTTTCGGAATGCGTACTTTTAAAAAAAAAAAATTCTTTACCTAATCTGAAAAGCACAGAAATTTGCATGCGTCAACAATCTTTAACTATTCTGATAATAAATCCATGCAGGCAGACAAACTCTAAAGCAGTATCATACTTTTATACTTTTGGAGATTACTTAAGAAACTCTTATATTAAAGAATCAATAAAAGTGAAAATTTCACGTTCCAGTCGTATTTTTAAGTCAGCTGCATAATTTTGGAAAAGCGCCGGGGCAAAAATGCTTGCAGTGAGAAAAATCTTTTTAAAAAAAAACGAGCATAAACTCTTTATTCAGACACCTTTATTACTTCAGCCGAAAATGGTACCTGCATGTAATCTCCTCGGCACACTGAGATGATAGTTTTGTAAATTGTTTTGAATTTTTATCGTCTGCTTGAAAAATCTTTTGCATCATTACTTTTCTTTTTGGCAACAAGAAATTTCTTTATACGTGCTTCTATTTTGCTTACGATTTTTGTTCTTATTTTATAATATATTTCTTTCAAAAGAAGATAGAACTATCATTCCTCAGAAAACGGTATACTGGAATATAGTAAACATTAAATGAAAAATAATATTCGACTGTTTTATTTAGATATATATATTTTTTAATCACTTGAAAGTTTGTTTAGTTTTTTTTTTTTTTTTTAAATATATCGAAAAATTCTCATTGAAGCTTGTCGCCTTGACAGAAAGTTTGATGCGACCATATGGTAGTTTGAAAAATATGTGTCATAAAAATTCTGCCACAAAAGTATAAAGAGTTCTTACTTTTTCATTTTCTTTGACGCTTTGTTAAAAATGCACAAATAATTTTACGTAAAGCAATCAAGGGAATCATTATTAAAAATAATTTATTGAAATGAATATAAAGTACAAGTAGCAAAATTTAATAATTTATATATAACCAAAACAAATGGATAAAATTAATTTTTTTAACGTTTCTAAAA